CTTTGAATTCTATTTAGATTGATATGATCCAATCCAAAATGCCATAAGAGAGTTTCATTAGTACTAGACGATTTATTTCTTTTCTTAGCAGTAGTAGTGTTATGTATAGAGCCAATCATAGAATTTAAGACACAAAGACAGTTAACCTATGACCCGAACATATAACAAAATTATTCAACCTAATAACCACTGTAGAATGGATAAAAAGTATCGAATAACCAACATGATATAAAAGTACAACAAAAACCAAGTTCCGTGTAAGTTCGAAAACATAATAATAGCCATCTAAGATCAAATGTCAACGATTCTCAAAACATAAAGTAAAAGTACCAAAAGTTTTGGTAGACACTACTACTCCTGTGCCAATTCTAAAAGTGTACTCCCCTTTACTGAGGTGCTTGATTTTCTAGAACCCCGGAAAGAATTGTAAACATGATTAGTGACTCCAGAATCTACAATCAAGGTATTAGTAGAATCAACCACTAAGCATGATTCAATGAATATGACATTGGCTTTACCTTGTTTCTCCTTAGCTAGGTGATTCGAGAAATTCTTCTTTCAATGACCCTTTTGTCCACAAATAAAACACTTTCCCTATGGTTTCCTATCGAAGTTTATTTTCTTTCCCTTTGACTTGCTATCTGGCTTTTTGTTTGGCCTCTTCTTTTTCTTTCCTCCTTTGCCAACAGAAGGCATACGATTAGGAGTCCAGTCGCTACAGTCAAAGCACTTCCACTTCTGGTCTTTAGAACAGTTTCAACATTTTAGAGTTCTTTCATCAATTCCATCAGAGACATGTCCATTTTGTGTAGATTATAGTCAACTATAAATTGTGAGAACATCTCAGGGAGGGTCTCAAGGACCATGTTAATCTGTGTCACGGAATCAATGTTAGCTCCTAAAACCTTCGAAGCGTTGAAGTGACCAATCATGCTTAACATATGGTCCCTCACAGATGTGCTCGATTTAATGCACGTGTTCATAATTGCCGTAATGGAGGCTTACGTAGCTTGTCGACTTTGATGTCCAAACATCTCTTGAAGACTTTCCATTATGTCAAAAGTAGTTTGCATATTCTAATATTTCTATTGTAATAGATTTGACATGGATGTCAAGATGTAGCAATCAACCATTTCATCAGAATGACACCACTTTTCATATGCCGCCTTTTGAGATTCCGTGGAGTCATCGTTAGGAGTTTCGGGACAAACTTTTGTCAGCACAAATTTGTATTTTTCAGCGGTATTGACAATATTAAGATTCATTTTTTAGTCAACGTAGTTTTCTCCCACGGGTTGATTTTTGTTAAGTATCACTGATAATGGATTAAGCAACACTCTTTTGTAAAATTAACGATTTGCGTATTAACAAAATGAGCAATAATCTTTGTATGATGCATGTATATGAGTATGCAAATATAGGCCCAAAACTATAGTTTTTAATCAAAGACTTTAAGCCTTAAAACTTTTGTGGAAAATTGAGTAATTGCAGGAAATCAGGAATTATTTTAGAATAATCGCTATAGTATATTTAATTATTTCCATAATTAGGTAGAACTATTAGTTTTCCTTATTTAAGAGATTATTTTCCTTATTTCTTTCCCGTCATTTGTATATAAATACAAGATTCAATGATGAATAAAATTAATTCACACAGAAATTCGTGTGATTCATCATATTCTTCATGGTATCAGAGCTCCAGGTTGATTATCCTAGCAACCCATGATAGAAATTAATAGGGATTCCACCACCACGGAATTTTTTCAGAGTGAAACGGAGGCCATGTTTCCTATGGGTTCCAACAATACTGAAAACTCTTCCTTTCAACTCACTGTCGAAAAATTGAATGGAAAAAAGTTTCGGGAGTAGGCCCAGTCTATAAATTAATAGTCGAAGGCAAGGGAAAAATCGATTACCTCATCGGTGAGACCAAGAAACCAACAGATGCAGCGCTTATTCAACAATGGAAATCGGAGAATTCTTTAATAACCGCCTGGCTAGTGAATTCCATGATACCGTCCATAGGTAAAACTTACATATTCCTACCAACAGCTAAAGAAGTTTGGGAGGCAGTAAATGAGACATTTCGATGGAGAAAACGCTGCACAAAGTTTTGAAATAAAGACTTGATTGTGGCAAACCAAGCAATGCGAGAGAGAGGCCACGGATTATTTCCTTGAAATGACTAACCTATGGTAAGAACTTGATCTTAGTCTTGAGGGAGAGTGGAAATGCACCGGTAAGAGTGTTTGGTACAAGAAACGGGTCAAGAACGAAAGGTTTTTTCGAATTTCTCGCAGGCCTCAATCACGAGTTGGATGATGTCAGGGGTAGAATCTTGGGTCGGCGACCATTACCTACCACACGAGAAGTGTTTGCAGAGATTAGAAGGGAAGAGAATCGCCGAAAAGCCATGTTGAAGGCTGGAGACGAAGACACGGAAGTGGAAACAACTATTATTTCAAAAAAGAATGGACTAATTGGGCTAAGACGGTATGAAAATTTCAATGGACCAGCTAGTATAAATGGGCCAAACGGTCGGTTCAAAACAAAAAAAGGTGGATGGGTTGAGAAGTTGCATAATGGGCCAGGTCAGTCTTCAAGAGTAATTGGGCCTAAAATAATTGGGTCGTCTTCAAATGGACCAAAACAAATAAAGGGACGTCCATGGTGTGATCACTATCGTAAACCAGGGCACAAGGAAGATACGTGTTGAATCTACACGTGAAGCCCAACGACTGGAACAAAATTCAAAAAATCGAGGATATCAAGCATCAATTGATCCTACTGAAAGTCTCAATGAAAATATTTCTACTACAGGAGGTATATTTAATTCAAAACCTAGAACAGTTGTATCAAATCTTCTCTAGTCTCCAAAATTCAAGTCGTCATTCTATCCACAACCTATCAAGTTCACTTGCTCGCAAAGGTAATTATCTAAGAGCTTTGACTACCTCATCAAAGTACAAAGTTTCATAGATTATTGATTCAGGTGCGTCCAATCACATGACGGACTCCTACCACCTCTTCTCTACATATACACCATGTGCAGGTAATATTAAAGTAAAAATTGCAGATGTGTCACTTTCAACTGTTGCAAGAAAATGGAGTATCCAAATATCTAAATCTATTATACTAAACTCAGTACTACATGTTCCCAAATTATCTTGTAACCTATTATCTGTTAGCCAGTTAACGAAACATCTAATTGTTCTGCTGAATTTTTCCCATCTTATTATGTCTTTCAGGAACTATCATCGAGGAAGACGATTGACAGTGCTAGAGAGTATGCGGGTCTCTATTACTTTGAAGAAGCAGTTGTGAGTAAGCTAAGTCAAATTGCAACTCGTGATTTTGCATATACCTCTTGGGATAGTGAAGTTTTATTATGGCAATATCGAATGGGTCATCCCAATATACATTACCTAAAACGTGTACTTCCATCTATATTTTCGAATAAACCTTCCTTTCGACTTCAATGTGAGATCTGTGAACTAGCAAAGCATCAACGAAGTGTATTTCCAAATTCTGTATGCAAGCCATCTCAACCATTCACTATAATTCATGGCAATTTATGGGGACCTTCATGAATACCCAATTGCACTCAATGGTCCAAACACAATTTCAAACTAATATCCAAATCCTCCGCACAAATAATAGCACCGAATACTTTAATTCGATATTCCAAGACTACCTACAAAAACATGGGATAGTCGATCAAAGCTCATGTGTCGACACTCCCCAACAAAACGAGATAGCTGAACGAAAAAATAGACACCTCCTTGAAGTTGCCCATGTATTGATGTTCACTACAAATATGCCAAAATTCTATTAAGGAGATGTTGTTCTAACATCTACTTACCTTATCAACCGAATGCCTAGTCGCACACTTCATTTTGAATCACCCCTCCAAATATTTCAAAAACTTTTCCCTACCGCACATCTAAACTCTAACCTGCCTCTAAGAGTCTCGATTGCACAGCATTTGTCCATGTGCACGCTCACAATTGAAATAAACTAGAAACTCGTCGACCAAATGTGTATTCATTGGGTACTCTTCTATCCATAAAGGCTACAAATGCTATGATCCAACCACAAAAATGTTATTTGTAAGTTGTGATGTGACATTCTTTGAAAAAACACATTACTTTCAAAAATCCTCTCTCCAGAGGGAGAAATTGAGTGAAGATCGGTTTATAGATTTTGATTTCTCTCCTCCTACTTCAACAAAACAAGAATCCACCACATCATCAAACTCTGATATGCCATATATAGAACAAAACTTGAATTCAGTGGGAGATGCAGAAGAACAAAGAGATATTGGTTTACTCAATGAAGTCAAAATCAAAGAAGAACCCCATACTAGACGCACCAAGAGAGCTGAAATCAATGATAGCTCTAGATTCTAATGAGTCTAAATACCCTGATATCAACCTGTCCATTGCACTCAGAAAACAACCTCGATCATATACTCTTCATCATATCTCACAATTCATATCCTATAATGCTTTGTCTACAAAATTTCGTACGTTTACAGCTAACCTTAACAGTACAGAAATTCCTAGAAAAATTTAGGAAGCTTTGAAAATTTCTAATTGGAGAAAAGCAATGATGGAAGAAATCCAAGCTTTGCAAAAAAAATGAAACTTGGGAAGTGGTGGATCTACCGAGCGGAAAAATACCTGTAGGATGCAAATGCGTGCTCATTGTGAAATATAAAGCAGACGGGACAATAGAAAGATATAAAACTCGTCTTGTGGCAAAGGAATACACACAAACATATGGCATAGATTATACAGAAACATTTGCACCAGTAGCCAAGCTAAATACAACACGGGTTCTCCTATCTTTAGCAGCCAACTTGGACTAACCTCTTCAACAATTTGACATAAAAAAATGCATTTCTAAATGGAGAATTAGACGAAGAAGTTTTCATGACACTACCACTAGGCTTCTCCTTACAAGAAGAAAATCAAGTTTGTAAACTCAAAAAGTCCCTATATGGCATTAAACAGTCACCAAGGGTGTGGTTTGATCGATTTGTTAAGGTACTAAAAGGGTAGGGATATCAACAAGGACAGTCTGATCACACTATATTTTTTAACAGTCGAAAAGTAGGAGGAAAACAATTTTAATTGGATACGTCGATGATATAATCCTAACCAGAGATAACATAGTGGAAAGGGAAAGACTGAAGAAACAAATGATAGTTGAATTTGAGGTAAAAGACTTGGGACAGATGCGATATTTTCTAGTAATGGAAGTTGCGAAATCGAAAAGGGTATCAATGTTTCACAACGAAACTACATTCATGATCTCCTATCAGAAATGGGTATGCTTAGGTGTAAACCAAGCGACACACCAATTGATACAGGAAGAAAGGCGAAAAACATTGGAGAATCAATTGAATAAGAAATATATTAGCGACTAGTTGGGAAATTAATCTATTTGTCTCATACTAGGCCAGATATTGCCTTCGCACTAAGTGTGGTAAGTCAACATATGCACTCACCAAAGGAAACACATATGGAAGCAGTGTATAAAATACTTAAGTATCTGAAAAGTTCTTTAGGGAAGGGACTATTCTTTAAGAAAAATGAGAGTAATAGAGTAGAGGTATTTATTGATGCTGATTGGGCTAGTTTTGCAGAAGATAGGAGATCAACAACTGGTTACTGTAACTATGTATGGGGTAACTTAGTGACTTAGAGAAGCAAGAAACAACATGTTGTAGCAAGGAGCGATGCAGAAGCTGAATTTAGAATAGTGGCCCAATGAATCTGCGAAGGACTGTGGTTAAAGAAACTTTTGGAAGAATTACAAGTTAGTGTAAAACTTCCAATCAAACTATACTGTGACAACAAGGCAGCAATCAACATCTCACTAAATCCAGCATAATATGATCGAACAAAGTATGTAGAAGTGGACATACACTTTATTGAAGAAAAAGTCGAAAATGGAATGATTTGCATGACTTATGTCCCTACAAAGGAGCAAATAACAGATATCTTCACCAAATGACTACCTCGACAGATTTTTGACGATTTCGTCCGCAAATTGGATATGATTAATAGCTACCATCCAACTTGAGGGGGAGTGTGAAAAATCGAGTAATTGTAGGGGATTAGGAATTATTTTAGAATAATTGTGGTACCATATTTAATTATTTCCATAATTAGGTAGAATTATTAGTTTTCCTTGTTTAAGAGATTATTTTCCTTATTTCCTTCCACTCGTTTGTAAATATTCAATGATGAATAAAATTAATTCACACAGAAATTCGTGTGATTCATCATATTCTTCAACTTTTAACACGCTCTCTATAGGAGGTCAATATAGTTGTTGGCAAGGTTGGGACACTCCCACTCATTTTATTGAGCAAGACATCTCATGCTACAAGAAAATGAGGATTGATTATTATTTGGCCTATGAATAATTTTGTTGAAACCTTCTATAGGAAGTCCTCCCAAAATTATTCATATATAAGTGTAATAACCTCGGACAATAACTTTAAAATATCTAAAATATACAAGATGTCAGCTATAGGATGATAACCCCATTATTTCATTTTAAAAATTCTATCATTAAATCAAATTTCAGTTAATCTAAAATAACGTAGTCTTCCTATAGGGAGATCGATATAATTCGATACAAAACATACATATTTTAATAACAAATTGGATGACGAAGTAGGTCGTAGGTTTATACATGTCTATAAACTCTCTCCCACTTATTATTTTGAAAAGTTGGGTATTCACTAAATAATTAATCTGTCAAATACAAACAATTATAATGGCAATAATTATTAAAAATATTTTTCAACCACTCCTAATTAATTTTAAAGTGATGAAAAAAATATTTTAATGCAAATGCATATGATTTTAGTACACCGGGTAGTGTCCCATTTAATCCACATAACATGTGGTAATAATTAAACATTCATTCGTCCGTAAAGCAGTAAAAGCAATAATTAAATGAATAATAATCACTTATGGCACATCCTAAGAATTTAAATTAAAACATTGATAGAAGTATTACATTGGACCACATTCCGACTCAATTCGTCAATCTTCTTGTAGTACATCCCATGTAATGTCCAAATTAGGTCAATTTAATTTTTAGGCTTAATTTTTAAAACCAACAAGGCCAAAAGAAAATCCCAAAAACATAAAATTAACCTAATTTCTAAACCTTAGCAAGAAAATACACACAACACCATTTTCACACACTTATCCGGTGACAGCGCCATCATCGACTACCCCAAAAGAGGTCGTCATCGACGGCAAGATGGTACCCAGCAGCTGCTGCTTCTTGCATTAGCAGCTTCAATTGCTGGAAGCAGTAGACCAACTGCTACTTCAGCTTGCTGTGCGAGGTAGTAGCAGCTTGGCAGGCGAGCCAGAGTCTGGCCACGATGGCTGCATTGCTCCGGTCACGTTGACCATCGATGTCGCTCGCCGCCCAGCCTAGGTGTTTTCTTGGTTTTCTTGCGATTTTTTTGTCCTTCTCTTTACAAATCTTCTCAGCAACAAAGACTCTTCTCTCCTTAAAATACAAGTGTAAAAATGAGGGGGGGGGGGGGCC